TTCACATAGGATAAGACAGTGCCAAGCCCCTTCACAGTCACAGAGACAAATTTGCACGATCTGAGAATGTCCTGAGCTGCCTCCCAGTGAAATCATTTCAATCCTCTGACCAGAGAATGGGGTCTTGTTGGACAAGTTGCTAACCCAGAAGGGAGGAAACTCCCCACTGATGTAACCCCACGTGGTGCAGGAGAACTCGAGGGAGAGCAGGGAGAGGGCTGAAGTTTATCCCTAAATATTCAGCTTTGCCTCCCATCTGCCTCTTATTGTGGGAAGCCAGCACACCCCTCTGGCTGCCTTGGCTGTCTCCAGACCCTGGCAGGGGGCTCGGAGCCCTTGGCACAAAGTCAAAAACACCTGTGGCTTCGATTTTAGCCCGTGGAAAAAACTGCCAACTGTGTGTGAAGATTTACAGGTCACAAGAGTTTGAGTTAATGTAACACAGGGTGAAAAAGTAGAATTATGGGTTTTTTTAAAATGGGGTTCAGGAGGTAAGATGGAGGAATTTGGGTGTGTCTTGTCCTTCTCCTTCTTGTCCTCCATCTTTCTCTGTGATGGTGACACTTTTTATTGGTTTAGAGTAGAGACGCACACTCTGACATAGGTGATGGGTATTGGGAATTAATCATAAAGTACATGTAGTTCTTAGTATAAAATGTAAACAACGCCCCAGAGGGCAGGTAGAATGCAGTGATCCAACTTGCTAGACAGAGCTCAGGAGGTCAGAGAAAGAATGTTATAGATAAGAGAAAATAAACAACCTTGAGAAGCAAAACCAACGCATCTGAACTTCTTCTTTGGCCGCGGGGCTGGGAGGAAAAGACTTTTTACGATCTTGGAGTCATCTTGACCACAGAACCCCGGGATCTTACAAAGCCATTTTCCTGGGCAGGTGTCACCTGGAGAAGCTGCCCTGGGCTGGGCTGTGGGAGGAGGATTTTCCTCAGCCTCCTCCCCAGTGTTCAGTCCCTGCACAGCCCGAGCAGAGCAGCGCTACGGGTGCTGCTGGTTTGATCCCTGGCACTGGGCACTGGGAAGATGCTCTGGGAAGCACACGACACGCCAGCCCCCTTCCCCCAGCCTCGGTGCAGAGATCCTATTATTTCTGATAATTGATGCTGAGGGCTGTGGCGTGCCTCATTTAATCAGCACTGCTCAGCACACTCCAGGGATGTAATTCATGTAATTCCACCTCCAACATGGCTGGCCAGGCTCGGACACACAGCCGAGCGGCCACGGCAGTTTTTAATCAGCTGTCTGAGGAGTATTTATCTAATCAGCCAAGAACTCTGTCACAGCCAGACCAGAGGTGACATTAGCACATCTGGAATGCCTCGCTGTAGCACTGTGGGGAGGTGATCAGGGTTTGACTGTGCATGTGAACGCTCTGCCAGGAATAAAAGCGTGTTTCTGCTTATCAGAATGGAAAAAGAACTGAATTGGAGCATGTTGGAAAGGGTTAACGCAGGGTTTTGTTGACTGTTATATCCTGAGCATCCTTAGAGAAGTTCCCAGGTAATAAACAGATGTGTCCTCAGATCACACGTGGGTTTAAACCCTTCCTACAAACCCCTCCTGCTTTTGGAAACAATGCTACTTGATGATGGTGGTAGTAAACATATTTACTGCAGAACCTGACTAATCAAAACCGGGCAGGACAAGCAGCTGCATTAGCAGAGAATAAATAGCAGCCCCATTAAAGAAGGCAAACACAGAAATTCTGTCTGCTCACAGCTGTAAAGTTATTGCCTGAGCAAATACAAAGAGAGGTGCTAATTGGGAGTGATTAAGTTTAATTGATTCCCAGTTCCTCCATATCTTAACAAAAGGCTGTCCTGAAGCCTGCTTTCCTCCTTCCTGTACCAACATAGCTCTTCTCTGAGATGTGCTGGTGTAAAAGCTGCTTCTGCACCAGTGGGGACAGCTCAGCTCAGAGGCACCAGCAAAGGGATGAGCTGTGTCCCCTGATCCTGCTGGATGTCCTGCTGCAGCTGCCACCACCACCACAGGGACAAGGACAACTTCTCCACTGAAAGGGTGCTCAGGCATCAGAACAGCCTGCCTGGAGCAGTGGTGGAGTCACCATCCCTGGAGTGTTCAAAATGTGGGTAAATGTGGCACTTTGTGGTGTGGTGCAGTGGCCGTGGAGGTGTTTTATCAGATGTTGGGCCTGATCTTGATGGGGCAGCCACAGCTTCCCTGGATCCTCAATATCCCAGGACCAATACTGTTTGCCACTTCAGTAAAAGTTAAATTAAATGCTGGGGAGTTGTTAACTTCATTCCAGATGTTTGAGGTTTGGGAAAGTTTGTCTGGTTTTCTTTTTCCTGGAATCTTTAGTTAGAAGCACCTCTTGGTGGCACTTTAGGAAGAAAGCACACTTCCAGAAGTTACTTCAAAAATCAGTCTGCCTTAAAGATTTTCTTTTTTTTTGGGGGGGGGGGGGAGTTTTTCTGTTAGATCATTAAGTATTTCTTACAGCATTTTATTGATAACCAGTTGGGGTTTCTTTGATTAAGCTTAAATGTGATATATACTTAATCAAAGAAACCCCAACTGGTTTCCAACCCCAACCTCAATCATATATATATGTATGATATAGAAAATAAATTTGGATAATAGCCATAGATATCAATATATAGATAGATAGATTATATGGATGATATAGATTTAGATAGATATAGATATCTCTGGAGCTGGCAACAAGAGCTTTTGTTGGGTTTACTCTGGGGACCAGGAAGTGAATCCAGACCAGACAAACTGAATATGCTGGGAAATAATTTCAAGACAAAGCAGGCAGATAATGACCTGCAGGGCCTGTTCCAGCCTGCTTGTGGGTAACAGCAGTGTGTAGTTCCAGGAGCAGGCAGGGTAGGATGGCTCTGCTCTCCCTGGCACATCAATCACCCTGCAGAGGTTTTGCTTGGCAGTGTCCAAACCCTTATTGAATGCTTAAAGGCAGGAGAGCACCTGGAGGAAGCAGGCAGGAGCCGAATCGATGCCAAAGGATGCATGTGGATGTATCAGGGCCTCAGCATCTCTGTGGGAAAAGTCCATTTGTTTAAAGGGAAGGGAAAGGCCCCTGACACTTAACACATTAAAATGGATTATTTCATCAATAGGTTAATAGAAAAGCAGGCTGCAGGTTCACTCCTGCACGCAAAACGCGCCATTAAAGTGTGAAAAATGGGAAAGGCACTGGGAAAGGGTCTCTGTGCACTGGAGACCATCTTCCCTTTCAAAGGGGTGCCAAACCTCGATTTTGCCTATTTATATGTAAATGTTTCAGAGGGAAAACAAGTTTTTCTGCAGGGCAATTGTGCCTCTCTAGTGCAGAGACTTTTTAAACAGGACTTTAAATGAGGGTTTTTCCAGCTTGAAGGATGCACCCAAAGGAAAGGCTTTTAGATTTGATGATGTCACTCAGAACACTCAGTCCTCCTTTTCAGTATGGAGCATTAAAGCCTGCAGATGGCTTTATTCAAATCATACCTGGCTTAACAGTCAGGGGTGTTCAGGCAGTGCTCTTCCAGCTTTAATTCTTCAGCTGAAAATGGAGCTTCTTGTTACAGCCTGGAGTGACTTCTTGTCACTGTTCCTTTTCCCTGTGGGCAGCTGTTTGGTCTGAGTTCTGTGGGACATTACAGAAAGAAATTTTGAAGGAAATTTTTAAAATTAGTGTATCCTGGTACTGCCTGTGTTGTGGGGTGTGGATGACATCCTAAAGAGTGAGGGACATCTGTGGTGGGAGGGAGAAGGGTCTGAGGTCCCTTAGATAACTTTTGAGTGCAACCATCAACTCGGCTCCATCCTGTTCACCACTAGATCCTGACCCACATCCAAATGCCATTTGCACACTTCCAGACATGGGAACTCCAGCAGTTCCCTGTTCTTCCAGTGGCTCTTGGGTGTCCTGATCTACTCGGATGTTTCAGCTGGTTCCTGTGTGAGGAAGCCCAGCCTAAGAAAAGTGTCTTAAAGATTCTAAAGAAGGTGAAAATGTGCTCTCCCCTAATGAGCCTGGGAGCAGAGTGCTTTTCAGCCAGATTTTCTGCTAATTGTGAAGCAGCAGCTCAGAGGATCTCAAAGTTTGGGTCAATTCTAATAAAACAAGGGTGTTGCTATTCTCTGTAAAGAACAGAGGGTGTTGTTTTTTTTTCTTCCTTTCCAAATAAGCACTTCGATTTTGCAGTGAGGGAGGAATTTTGGAGCAGCCTAAGATAGTGAAAAGTATCCCTGCCCATGGCAGAGGGTGGAACAAGATGGGCTTTGAGGTCCCTTCCAACCCAAACCATTCTGGGATTTTATGATTCTACTTCCTTTGAGCTCAGTGCTACAAAGAACATTTGTTGGGATGAGGATTTAAGGTCATTACATCATCACCTCAGTTTCTAAAGGGGATGATGTAAAAAGGAGGTTTAAGGGTGAACTCTGGGCACCAAGTGATCCCCACAGGCTTTTGCAGGAAAAGGAGCTCTTGTCTGGCTGTGTTTTGTCGTGAAGTAAATCTCATTTTACAGTAGCTGTTTTGTCCAGTCCTGTATCTTCTGCAAAAATACTTCCTGTCTTTTTTTCTTTTTTCTTTTTTTTTTTAAATTTTTTTTTTAACTTCTACTGGTCTGCTTTGTCTATTCCAATAGCAGATCCATTTAATCTTCTCAAATTGTGTCATGTTGTGGTGACTGAAAGAAGAATCACTCTGAATATGAGGCTTTCCACATTGAAAATTGAAATTCCACATTGAATTGGCCATGGATTGCAGGGGCTGAGTGGTCCTTGTGTGCATTTTCTGTGTGTAGCTCTTCATGTGTGAACAGGCTTGTGCTTGTATTTTACTTCACATGCTTTTTGATGTTTCTTTTCTCCCCTTTTTCATTGAAAAAAAAAAAATTTTTCTTCTTTCCCCTTCTTTTTTCTTTATTTTTATTCTCTTTTTTTTTTTTTTTTTTTTTTTTTTTTTTTTTTTTTTCCTCTCTTCCCCTCCTGCTCTCTGGACGCAGCCAAACGCAAAGCTTGGAAACTAAACCGTGTTGGTAGCCTGCGAAATATTTACAGCAGCAGCAGCACCAACACCGAAGGTAACGAACCCACCCGTCCCACACAAACACCTCCTCTCTCCCCCCCTTTTTTTAACCCACTCCTCCAGAATTTTGCCCTCCTTGCCTCTCTCCCTTTCCCCCTGGAAATGAGATTTGCCCCAAGCATGCGTGTTTGTTTCCACCCCGTGTTTGCAGAGTCATTCCGCTTGGTCTTTTCATCTTTCTGTTCGTGCCTTTTATTTTGCCATTCATGTTCCTTTCAGCTTACTTAAATTTTGACCTTTCCCTCTAGTCGTGGAGTAGTGATGTTTAAATTACTTCAGGAACCCATTTTCTCATTTTATTTATTTTTTTTTAAGAGATACATATATATTTTTTCCCTTTCTCCATGTGGGCACTCAATGTAATATTTCCCAAGTTATTACGATTTTTAAAAGTGTTAGTATCAGGTGTAATGATCTGTAGCCAAATACAATAGTGTGCCATGACATTTAAGTAACAATCTTAATTTGTTTTGTGCAAGCCTTCTCCATAATGCTCTTTGCAGCTCTAATCCAGAGGCGAGACAGTGCCGGGTCATTTGCATGTGCTACTCTTGCTTGTAAATTCTGGATATTGTTGTATTTCTAAAGGTCACCCGGTGCCAAAGTTCACAAATTGACTTACATTGCTTTTTTTTCCCCCACCCAAGGCAGCCGTCATGCCTTTTGTATAATAGCACATGGAATTTTATGTATTTATTTCCCCCCCCCCCCTCTCCGCCTTCAAACAACACAATTACAAACTTTTTTTTTTTACTATATATATTTTTTTATTATTATTACAAATGTCAAAGGTCAGAACGACTTGGAAACCAAGCAAGGAGGAGGGAGGGAATAAAAAACCCACCAGCACCATCTCCAGCAGCACGGAAGAGGGATGGTGTAAGGAATAGGGGAATGCAAAATAGGTCACAACTCAGTAATCTCGCTATAAGGGAGGGGGATTTTTTTTTTCTCTTCACTTAAGTGCAAACCAAATGGGTCAAGTAATCGCAAGCGCATGCCCTAACACTAATTGACTTATTTTGGAATGATTATAACTGTAATATTTTTCTTAATGTCACTGTTTTCTGGGCTGTTGATTTTAGTGATTGCCAAGCGGTGGCATTAAATCTCTTGTAAATTTTAAATTGCATGCTATTTCTGTAAACAAGTCCCTCTGTTCACATCCTGATCATTAACCTTTGGTGATTTATATCACCGTCCTTTTTTTTGCACAATTACAGCCCAGGCTGCTGGCTCTCCCTGCCAAAGTGTGCACAGGAAACAAAAGTGGGGTTTTATTCCACCTTGTTAAGGCAGCTTTTTTTTTTTTTAAATTTATAATTCATAATTTTATTTCATTTCTCAGCCTAAATGTAAAATTATTGCCTTTCAGAACTGCTAAATTGGCTGGTTTGATCCTTTCATTGTCTTTTCAAATATGAAGTGCAAAATATGAAAAGATAGAGAGTGGCTGTCAAATATTCATAAGTCTTGGGGTTGTCTTTTTTCCACAAAGACACTTTAATAATTTTCAATTTTCTATTTGTTGTTTATACCTCCCAGCCCCATTTTACCTCTGATCAGGTATATTTGTTGCTACAGGTTTAGTGCTTGAGAAGCTTGTGAATTTTTATTTACCTGTTCATAAACTGCAGAGGACCAAATACACAGAATTCCCTTGCATTTTACAGATCAAGTTTTTGTAGGGCCTGTCTAATTTGAGGAATCTTTTATCTTACTGATCAAACTAAGATGCCTTGGTATGGAAACACAGTGCTGCTGGCCATGCCCCAAAAAGTTTTGAGACACAGCATCAAAATGAAATTCTAAAATAGGGCAAATGTACCATTTTTGGATGTTTTATCCCCCTGAAAGCTGGAGGTTCAATGTTCTTAGCTGTGAGCTGATACCGTGAGCCTTTGTGTGAGAGCTGGAATGGTGAGACATGCAAATGTGGAGTTAATGAGCATTGTAAGTATTAAAAACCACATGTTTAGATAATTATGCCTTCAAAAAAGAGAACGATGATGGGAAATGACAGTCCAGAATAACAAATCTGCTTTGGTCCTTGGCACACGCTTGCTCAGTGGCACTCACCCCTATTTACACACCAAAAAAAATTTCCCTCAGGTTCAGCCCTGGTTTGAAAAGCTCTCCAATCATTTTTAACTCCCTCCTGGTGTTTTTAGGTGTTCTGGGTGAGCTGCCAGGTGGGCAGATCTCAGCTCTAGCTGGGAGAAAGTGCAGCCCAGGTGCTGCAGATGTGCTCTGTGTAGGTGATGGTGGTGCCTTTTTGGGCTGCCTAAAAACAGAGGCCAGGCAAAAATAAGGGAATAAAAGCAGTTATATGTATTGAAGGGCCTTCAAGTACATTTTTGGGCAGACAAAGCCCCCCTCAAGGGCTACACCCAAAAAATGGATGATGGGTTTTCACACTTTTATAAGTTTGGTGCATTTGCATATTGGGGGTTCATCTTGCCACCTCCAGGGATGAGGACTCCAATCCCTGAGCACCTTTTCCATGGGGAAATTCCTGCTGCTGTCCACCCTGAGCCTGCCCTGGCCCAGCCTGAGGCCGTTCCCTCTCCTCCTGTCCCTGTTCCTGGAGCAGAGCCCGACCCCTGCCTTGCCCGAAATTGCAGAGTTACCTCCTTCATCAGATCTGTCTTATTACAAGAAATCTTACTTTCATTTGTTTTAGAGCTTGCCTAAACTCTTTAGTTGTCAGATTTTGTGTAGTTTTCCATAGGAAGCCAAATGAGAAAGTCCCACATGCTCCCTGTTGCAGACAGCCAGGCTTGAAGCAATCTTTTGGTTCTTTAGGGGGGAAAATAGGCTGTAGCAGTGAGTTTTGCTTAAAACAAACCCCACTCTGGTCTTAAGGGTACCTGTTATCATGGCAGTATTATTAAAATACAGAATAATTTCCCCTATACCAACAGATTTCAGGCTAGGTTGGACAGGGCTTGGAACAACCTGGGATAGTGGAAAGTGTCCTGTGGCAGGGGCTGGAACTGGATGAGCTTTATGGTCCCTTCCAGCCCAAACCATCCTTGGATTCTATGACTTTGCAGCACAACAGGAAGGATTATCTTTAAGGAATTAAAAACCTGTACTCTGCATAAAGATATTAAATATTAAATCCTGATTTTTCCCCCTCCTCACCACTGCATGTATGATTTTGGTTGGATTTTCTGGGCACTGAGGGAGAACTTTTTTGTTTGGATTTCACCCAAGCTGCCTTCGGTTCCGAAGCGTGGTGCTGTGCCTGTGCAGGCAGTTACATCCTGTCTGTCTAAACTGAATTTTAAAAAATTTTTCAACTTGAGTTGTCTTGGCACCCAAATAAAACATCGAGCCCACGAGGCAGAGGGCTTCAGTGCCTTCAGCCTTTTGGCACCACTCAGAGACATGGATCTAAAGCAGAATAAAACTCTTCCAGTGGAACACAACCTTTACCAAGAGCTGTGGGCAAGTGCCAGCAGAGCTCCTCTGTCCTGATGGGGTTGATTTTCAAAACTAATTAGATTCAGACACCGGGTTTGGAAAGGGGAGAGAAGTATTAGCATGGCCATGCCCAGTGGGACATGGCACAAATATTTCCTTAATTGAGGTTGCTAATAAACATACTTACCATCCAAGTGAGGGGGATAATTCTCACCGAGTGGCAAAGGTAACGCGACCTAACACGTGTGGGACGTAAATAACACAATTGTTGTAAACAAATTGCAGTTGTAAACAACTCCTGTTGCCTCCCAGGGCACCCCAGCAGCTCTTCCCTCTCCTCCTTTTGAAAGGATGAAGGGTTATGGTGCTTGAGCAGAAGAGATTTTCAGGAGAGGGAGGAGGAGGCGATGAAAAAGGAGCTTAAATAGGTCTGGATGTTACATGAGGCAGGCTTGGCTGGGATTCAGGCTGTAACCTCAGCCCTTGGAGGTGCTTCAGGAGCATTTGAAACATGCTTCAAGGGGGTTTTGGTGCTGCTCTTGACTTCTTCTTCCTGGGAAGTGTTTCCTGTGTGAGTGGCACCACCCTCCAGATGTGCATGAGGAGTTACTGTTAATTAGCAGCAGCACCAGCATCCTCTGATATCAGACAGCTGTGTTGGGCAGAGATACAAATGCACAGCCTGCTTGGCCTGGAAGCCAGAAAATCCACTCTTCTTCTGGCAAAATATTCATAAAGGCCTCTTAGAAATGCCTTCATATTTATTTATTTAAAAGCCAGCTTTCAGGATGGGTGTGATTTCTGCACAGCAGAAAGGAACCCTTGCCTCCCGTTGACTTGCCTTGCTGAAAGGTTGGACCAGGTGATCCTTGAGGTCCCTCCCAACCTGATCTTCTATGACTTTGTGACTTGGAATTGTGCCCATCACTGGTGTAAGGTGTCAGTGGTTATTTATGCAGTTTTTAATATTGAGAGTAAAATAGGAGGGGAGTGTAAATGGAGACCAAGCTGATTTGTGCACATTATTTAGAACCACTCCTGTGAGATACCAGGAGGTGAGTGCTTCTGGACATGTGTTTTCCCTGCATTCCATATGCTCAAAATGGAGTTTTCTGGAACAAGTTATGGACTAATTGTATCCTGTGGTAATTTTCAGTGTGGTTTTCTAAACCTGATCTCAGTCCCACATCACAAACACATGGGTAGGGGAAGGCAGGGAGGCCATACCCTGAACGTTTGTTTTTTCTTCCACAATCCATTGCTCCTAAGAAATTTTATCTCTTTGTTTTCCAGAAGTGGGTGGGCTGTGGCAGTGTCTGGTTTTTGGCAGAGCAAAATAAATGTGAACTTGGGTTAAATGCAGTTGACTGTGGAAAGATGATGGTGAGAAGTGTCCCTGGAATCCCAGAATGATGTGTGTTGGAAGGGACCTTAAAGCCCATCCCATTTCACCCTTGCCATGGTCAGGGACACCTTCCACTCTCCCAGGTTGCTCCAAGCCTCATCCAATCTGGCCTGGAACATTTCCAAGGATAGGGCAGCCACAGCTGGGTACCCTAAAATTCACTGATTCCATGCCTGCTTCCACTGAAAGAAAAAACCTCTTGAGCTTTTCCTTCCATATCACCAGAGTCTCACACTTTTGGCTCATTTCCCATCCCAGCCACCCTTCCCTCTTTTAAAAAAAAAAAAAAAAAGGCAAACAAACAACAACAGCATTTTAGACATCTCCTGTTGATAATAACTTCCAAATGGAAGTCAGTGGCAGCTGGTTCTTCACACTTTAACCCTTCCTCTGCTGCCCTTACAGGAAATAATTGATGACTGATTGGCCCATTAACCTTTTTTTCTTTTTTAAAAAAAAAAGTTTGACAGCCTGGACTTGTGTAATGAGGAGGGATTCCTGGTGAAATCAGGCTGATGGCTGAGTTGCTTGCCCCTGAGGATGCAAAATTAGCCCCGTGGGACCTCGTCTGCATAGAAACTGGACACAATTAGTGTAATATCCGGTGTTATTAATGTAGTTTGGAGTAATTGGGCAGGTTGATTTCGACAGGTTGATGGTGCTAAAATACTATTATAGTGGACCTTTCCATGAATAACTGTTAAACATGGAAAACTGTTTAATAAAATTTTGTGATTGGGCTCACAGGGATTTAAAAAGCATGAGCTATAATCTGGCTGAAGAGTAAAAGTGAACAACTTCATCTTCCTGCCTGGATTTTCCTGTTCCTGTGTGCTGTGCTTAAGGACATACAGGAACAGGTTTGTTCCCTGTATTCTGAAGGAATTGCCCTGGGGGTGATATGGAGCAGGCACTGCTGCTTTGTTTCACAGTTGAGCTTGGGGGGGAAAAAAATATTGGTGTGTTTAAGCAGAAAAAATGAGGGAAGATGACTTCAACCAGCACAGCTTTTTGGGAAATAAATCTGAAGCTTCAGTGGAATTAGAATCATGGAATTATTAAGGTTAGAAAAGACCTACAAGATCATCAAGTGCAGCACTTAATCCAGCACTGCGACATTCACCACCAATCCATGTCCCCAAGTGTCACATTTACAAATCTTTTAAAACCCTCCATGGATGGGTGCTCCAGACCTCCCTGGGCAGCCCCTTCAATCCCTGAGCACCCTTCCCATGGGGAAATTCCTGCTGCTGTCCACCCTGAGCCTGCCCTGGCCCAGCCTGAGGCCGTTCCCTCTCCTCCTGTCCCTGTTCCCTGGAGGGAGCCCCGGCTGTCCCCTCCTGGCAGGAGCTGTGCAGAGCCACAGGGTCCCCCTGAGCCTCCTTTGCTCCAGGCTGAGCCCCTTCCCACCTCTGTTTTCTTCTCTTGACCTCAAAATACCCTTCCAGCCCCACCTGAAATGTGTTGCAGCTCTCCTGGGCTTGTTTCTCCTCAGTAAACCAGCTCCATGTGTGTGTGATCAGCATTATTAAAGAGGAGATCAGAGGAGTCAGTGATGCTGCAGAGACCTTAACTCTGTTGTCCTACAGGAGACAGTGCACAGGACCGAATGTAACTTCATTTATTGTGGAGTAGTTCCTTTTAGATCTTCCTCATGAAACCCTGAAAGCTCTGCTTGATAAACGAGGCTTTGGTGATGATTTATTCATGGCCTTTTGGGTAATGTTTCTCCCTGTTTGTTTGGAACACCGTGTTGCTAAAGTGGAACACTTGTAGCTGTGCATCATTCATCTTTGACCCAGGTGAATGACACAGAGCTGTGTCAGGGGGGTTTAGGTGGGATATCAGGAAAAGGTTCTTCTCCCAGAGGGTGCTGGCACTGCCCAGGCTCCCCAGGGAATGGGCACAGCCCCAGGCTGACAGAGCTCCAGGAGGGTTTGGACAATGCTCCCAGGGATGCCCAGGGTGGGCTTGTTGGGTGTCTGTGCAGGGATAAGGGCTGGAATTAATCCTTCTGGATCCCTTCCAACTCTGGACATTCCATGATTTCTTTTCCCACTTACCCCATGCACTGTTTTCCAGTAAAACTTCTGCTTCAGATACCTTCCTGCACCTGAAAATGACACTCAGCTCCACGTTTATCCCTACCTCAAATGCCAAGACACCTCCTGCTGCTTTTGAGGCATCCTTACAGCAGTGCAGGCACTGGCCCTGCTGACATGGAGTTTATCCAAGAAAACTTCTTGTCTCAAAGCTTGGGAACACAGCTGCCAGCGGGCAGCAGTGCTGTCCTTAAATCTGGTGCTGGATTTGTCCCTGATCTTTGCATGTTTATGGATGATGAGGGAACACAGTAGTGTCATGGCTCTGAATATATAATAAGTCATTATAGGACAAAATGTTCTTTCTGAAGCTCATTATGGCTGATGTTCACCAGAATTTTGTGCTGTATTATTCTTTTCCTTTCATGCTTCATGCCAGCCTGTCCCAATTGCACTTACTTTCAGCTTCCTTGATTTTTTTAATTTGGCATTGCTTTCCCATGTGTAGGTGGGGTGTGTGTCCATTTATCTCAGTTCTGCTGGTATTTCCATGTGCTGCTCCTCTGGCCTGAATACTTGTCCTTCTCCTCCAGTAGCCCTAAGGATATTTCACTGACCCTCCCTCCTGGCTTCTCAGATCATTTTCTCATCTCCCATGTCAGACGTGGATGTTGAATAGGTTGAACTGATTTTAATCCTGTATTATAGCCCAGTAATGATTATTATTCTCCCAGTATTTATGCTGTAGAGGAGAAAATGTCCACATCTGATTTAATATATCTGTGCTTGTAAAAACTGCTTGAAAGATGAGGATAAATTGTTACATTTTCTGTATTGTCAGCTCTTTGTGGTCCATTCATCTTTTATTTTGTGGCACCCTTTGATTTTTACATTATGCAGCTTTTAACACCTGAATTTTAAATCTAAATGATGCTTGTTGGCCACTTTATATTTGATTAAGGTACAGACTCAATTCCAAGCTCACAAACACAGGGACTGAGTATTTACTCAAACCAGTGCTTTATCTGCATAGCATTTGGAGAGAAAAAAACAGAGGATCCTGATTCTTTCCTGGTGCGCTGTGCAGAGCAGGATCCAGCCTCAAGCCTCGTGTCCAGACCTGCAGTTACAGGATTTGTGCAATCCCAGAATTGTTTGGATTGGAAGGGACCTTCAGGATGATCCAGTGCCACCCTCTGCCACAGGCAGGGACACCTCCCACTGTCCCAGGGTGCTCCAAGCCCTGTCCAGCCTGGCCTTGGGCACTGCCAGGGATCCAGGGGCAGCCACAGCTGCTCTGGGCACCCTGTGCCAGGGCCTGCCCACCCTCACAGGGAACAGTTTCTCCCTGGTATCTCATCTAAATCTACCCTTCTTCAGCTTAAAGTGTAACAGAAGTTCTTACCAACAACCAAGGTTGTTTCAGCTGCTTTTTGCTATCCTTAACTGAATCTTTTCTTCCTATTGCATCTTTTTTTTTTTTTTTTTTTTTTTTTAAAAAAAAAAAAAATTTTTTTTTTTTTTTTTTTTTTTTTTTTTTTTTTTTTTTTCAGAACAAGAAGAAAACTTTGAGTTTATCATCGTTTCTCTCACGGGCCAGACTTGGCACTTTGAAGCAACCACGTACGAAGAGAGGGACGCGTGGGTCCAAGCCATAGAGAGCCAGATCCTGGCCAGTTTACAGTCCTGTGAGAGCAGCAAGAACAAGGTATGGGGCACAGGGCAATACTGGCAAGAAGCCATGGGGCAGGTGATCATTAGGATGACAGCAAATTCTGAATTTTACGCCCTTACCCCTCGAGATGTGTGTGTTACCCCCCAGCTGAGCAGGGTTAGAGCTTTCTGAGGGAAGAACATGGCCTGGGAGGAGCAGCTTTCCCCCTTGGAATGCTCTCCTTTGATGACAGAAGGAGTTTGTTCACCTTTCCTGTCAAAATAAATGTTTAAAATCTGAGATGTCTTCAGCCAATGCTCATTTTGGGAGAACAACTGTGTCTTGAGTGCAGGTGTCTGTAAACACTTGACAGGAGAGAGCAAGGTGCTGACTGGTGACTGAGGGAGAGAAATAGCCAAAAATTGTCCAGAACTGTCGATCCTTTAATATTACCCACCTAACAGTTGTCTTTGATGATTTTATACTGCAAGGAAGACACTCATATTTTTAAGTGAATGACTATCTTCATTCCCCTGGTGTGCCAGACTAGATCAAACACCATTAATTACCATCATCATAAGACAATTGGCCTCTTATTTTGTGTTTAAAAATGGGTTTTTTCCTACATATATTCCTGCGATGGAGGAAATCACAGTTTACTTGTTTCTTGCTTTGCATGGGTTCACACATTCTGAAATGTGTGTGTTATCAGAGCACAAAAGGGGAAGTTTGTACATTAACACCTACATAAAAAGGTGAGTACAAAAGGATAAAGAGTGGCTGGACAATGGCTCAGAGAGGTTTTTCTCACTGGGTTCCCAAAGCATGTCAGCAGAACTGACTGGAACAGCAAAGGGCAGTTGGCTGGACAGGTTTAACAGCTGTCCCATGGAAGTTGTGTCTCCACATGGATATCCACAAGTCCTATTAAATCACACCTCAGGGAGCCCTCAAGGCAGTTTAGTTGGTGTCTTGGTTTGAAAAGACAGATGTCTGCTAAGGAAGGCAGGAACCTCTCTTGAAATGGAGAATGTAAACCCCCTCCCTCCAAATTATTATAAATTTGAAATTAAAAGGCTCTCAGCCAAAGATATGGGGCCAGGAATAACAGTTCTTTATTAGGGTAGAAAAAAAATAAAGGATGCAGTGATACAAAACAACACTGACAGAGTCAGAATAGGACCTGACACCCTGTGGGTCAGGGTGTTGACAGCAGTCCCATTAAATGGTGGCTGCATTCCTCCTGGAGTGACAGATGTGGTTCTGTTGGACCAGGGATCCTGCAGAAGGGTGGAGTTTTCCTCTGAAGGTTCAGTAGTGGGCCTGGTCTTCCTCTGGGAATTCCGTGGAGAAGAAAGCTGCTCCTCTGGGAATCCAGTGGAAAAGGCTGCTGTGGTGTCCCAAATCTCAGATCATATCCAGGTAGGAATGCTTGGCTCCTCCCCCTGGGCAGAGCATCTCCCAGAGGGATGATGGAATTTTATCAGCCATGCAGTGACACTCGCTGGCCCATGAACTGAAGATATTTCTCAGAGGGAGGACTGGTTTGTGGAAGAGATAAAGAACTGCCCAATGAACAGAAGAGAACTGCCCCAGCCATAACAGATCAGAATAGAATACACACCCCCAGCCACATCTTGCATTTCCAGCCTAAGACAGTTGGGTAGAGCTGAGCTACCTGTACATCAGGAGAGCCTCCCCCAGCAGAGGTCATGGGCAGGTCATCGTGAGGAGCAGTTAAAGAGGACCCACCGGGTGAAATCTGACCTTTGGATGATGAAAAAGTTCCAGCCACTTCTGCAAACCATCCCTTAGTCTTCATTAGCACAAGCACACACATCAATACAAGAAATTGATCTTGTAAAATAATATTCTTATCTCATTTATCTCAAGAAGCAAACCTACAGCGTGGCTGCTGCTCTTGGGAAGAGCAGGGTTCTTTCTCAAGCTCGCTTTTCCTGTTAGAATCCAGGCTGGAGACCCCAGAAGTCTGGGAGGTGCCAAAGGATCACTGTTCCTTGAGAGGCAAATCCAGACTTGAGGTTCCTTGACCGTATTCATTCAACCTGAGCTATGAGGTTGGCTGCTCATTCAGCTGACAGTTGTGTCCCTGGGTTTTTTGGGTTCTTGCTGCTCACTGGTGTTTTTGGCTCCCCGCAGTCGCGCCTGACAAGTCAGAATGAGGCCATGGCCCTGCAGTCCATCAGGAACATCAGAGGCAATTCCCACTGCGTGGACTGCGAGGCACAGAGTGAGTACAGCCCCTCCCTGCCTGCAGCTCTGAGCCTTCCCCTTGGCCAGGCCCTGGGGAGCACCCAGCCCTGGCCTCCCTGCTGGGACATCCCCTCTTGTTTGCGCATCTCTGCTTCCTCAAGCACTTTGCTTAACCAGACTTGTTTGATCTTAAGTTATGCTCAATATCTGCCACATCAAATGCATCCTGAGTTTTGCCCCTCTTTGTTTCACATCTAATGTAAGCATTTCTGTATTTCCCTTCAAAGAAAAGGCAAAAAGTTTGCTGTTTGACATCAGTCCCTTCCATTTCCCCCCTGTTTCACGTGGTGAGAGCACACGTGCCGTGGTAATATTTTCAAAGAGGTAGAGCTTGATTGCTGGTTTTTCAGTTTGGCTTTTTAGGCTTGCTTGTCAGAAAAAACTGAAGTCATTGCTCATTATATCTAGATACTAGAAAACTGATTTTGGACTATTTTTTTTTCTTTCCCTTTGTGTTTCTTTCCCCCCCTTTTATTTTTTTTATTTTTTTTATTTTTTGAGACATATGCTTAATGTTCAGAAGAGTGTTCTCGGGCATACTTTGAGCTGTGCTTCACCTCACTAACCCCGACTGAGGCCATTATTCTTGTGCTCTTTAGTTCCAGGGGTTTGCAACAAAGCGACAGAAAGGAAGTTCTCTTACTCTAAAGCAATTAGTTGGAGGAGCTAAAGGATTGAGAACTTGTGCATTTTTATTTCTTTGATATTTGGAAGTCAGAACTTTCCCTGTGATTTTTACACATGCTTAAAATGGAAAAATATTCACTTAGTTATCTTCAGCTGTGATTTTTATTTTTAAAGATTTGCTGCTTGGGATTTTGACTCCTGGTCTAAGCCATTCTGATACCCCAGTGTAAAAAGAGCATTTGTACACAAGTGCAGGTGCTTTTGCACCAATAATTTGGTCTCTGCTTTGCACGTGCTAAACCAGGGTAAAGCTAGGTTTGAGTGGTATTTTAGCACCTGGAGCCCAAAGCAAGTCTTATTTATTAGTGTGCTTTCATAGTGACCTGGCAGTCGTTGAGATTTCCCCCAAAGCTTTGATGCAGCTCAAGAGGAAGGCAGGAAGGGTGGTGAGCTGTGGATGAGGAGGAGGGGGTCTGGGAGTGACCTACATGGATATTTAGCTCATTTGAGGTACTCACTGCTGCCTCTGAGCAGCCCACGGTGTGAGTGGTGACAAGTCCTGCTCCACTGTGGGTGGCATTTTTCTAGCCTTGCTAACTATATATTTATTTATAAAATATACAATTATATTCTATTTTATGTATATATATTTATGGGAGGTTATATTATATAAGATGCAATCCCTTCAGTGCAGGCAACTTCCACAACATCCTTCTAATCCACCTCAGCCCTACCCAGACTCCATGCTCCTAGCCTTGCTAACTAGGTATTTCTTTATTAAATATACAATTATATTATATTTTTATATATATATATTTATGGGAGGTTATGTTATATATCAATAAGATGCAATCCCTCCAGCAGGCAACTTCCACAACATCCCTCTGATCCACCTCAGCCCTACCCAGACTCCACTGTCCCCAAGGCTTGTGTTTCTGTCCCCAGCCATGCACATATCCTAGGATTTATGCAGCCAGGATGGATGTTTCATCAGGAAAATGCTTTGGAAGAAAGCAGTGCTCTTTTTTTTTATCTTTTTGGGGTTTTTTTCCCACCCCCATCCAATCTGGTTTTCAGCCAGATTGCTCATGGGTCAAGCTGGCCCCCATGCCTGGTGCCAGCAGCAGGGAGAGGGCAGAGTGGGACAGCCCATTTTGGCAACACTCTGTCATGTGGCTTTTATGAGGGGATGATTTTAGAATCTCAGCTGGACTTGTTTGTATTCTCAGAGATGATTTATACCCTCTTTGACTCCTCTTTGCTGTTTGACCTTCCTGATTTTAAGGCCACTATCATTCCTTTGGAAAAATGTGAGATATTTCCAAAGCCCTGGATTTTAAAATGTAAACACACACACAGAGGAGGTGAACCTCAGCCTGCTGCTTTTTCTGCAGGGCTTTGCTTTATCCCCTTGCTGCCTTGCCTGGGCAGGCTCTTACCCCTGGAGCATTTAACATCACAAACCCCAGCACTCCGTGGAAGTCTCACATTGTTTGCAGCTCCACAGAGCCAGATGTTTGGGAGCACAGGGGAGTGCAGTGGTGCCATCCCTCAGCTCTATTCAGGAGCCATCAATCTTCCACTTCAGAAGTCTCATTCTTCCTCTTTCTGGAGCTCTTTGCCTTTTGAGCACTTGATGCAGCACTTTGTGTCACCGAGGAGTTCTGCCTTGTTGGATGTTGATCCAGCAGCTGTGTGCCACCAAGCACCCCAGCCCTTTGGCAGCCTTCAGCTAAATTACTCAATATTCTCCTCTCAACGTTGCCATCCCAGAGCAAGAGAAGGGGCAAAGTGCTCTTCAGGAGCTGGAGTTTGTGCCCAGGATCTGATTTCATGTTTGAAAAGGAAACTGGTGTTGCCTTTTCCCAAAGCACCAGAATCCTGGTGCTGACTTTGTCTGGAAAAGCCAGCCAAGGTGATCCAATTGTTTAGACAAATCCAGCTGAATTTCTAGGTTTGGCTCACTAGAGGATAAATGTGAGTCACCTCTTCCAAGATACCTGGAGAACATGGAGCATCAGGTCTTTGCTGTTGTAGAAGAAAATAGGGAGTGTTTAAAAACATGGATTCTCATAATGAGTTTTCCATGCCAGGAGTCTGATCACATACTCTGGTGAATTTTGTATTTGAAAGCCAAACACTGAGATAATCATTTGGACAATCTTGTCCTACCCATCACAAAATTCAGTTTTTCATGTAGAATAGGAGAGTTGCAAACTTTTCTCTCCCTTCTGCTGCAACTTGAGATGCCTTCACCCCTGCTTCTTCTTTCCCTGGCTCTTCTGCTCCTCCTTCCAGCAATTCCTTCTGCTCAGCCCAGGGATATCTTACATCTGCTGACCTCAGGAAGGTTCAGCCTTTCATCAGCCTCCTTGGAGGGATGAAGGAGACAGTGGGGAGGGGTTATTCTCCTGAGAGAGTTTTCACCTCCAAATGGTAAAGCTGATTAGGGTGAGAGTCAGAATGGGGAAGAGTTTTTCAGGGAAGGAGTGAGCCAAGCCTTTTTCAGACTATGAAGACCTGAAAATTGTAATCTGGATATATTCAGTGGTGCTAAAAAGCTCATTTTTTGTTTGACCAATTGTAGGTAAAGCACCTCTAGCTGCACTGAGTGGGCTTTTCCTTCCTCTTGCTGTCAAAAAAGGGCATCCTTGATGCCCACACCTGCCACGTGCTCGTGAGCATCCCCCAAATCAGAGGTACTCTCACCAGCAGCAGGAAAAGAGAGCTCGGTTTGTACCATTCTGAAAGTAAAAAAACCCCAACCTTGAATAGTTACAGCCTTCTAACTACATGTGGTGTGAACTGGTGATAACAATTTTAATTTCTGTAATGAGCTCAGCCCTTGCCTTGCCTCGTTTGCCACTTTCCCACTCAGCTGTGTGTTGTCAGATTGTTGAAATTGAAAATAATATCTTGCTAAAATTTGGTGGAACTTCCTGGTTGTTGTTTTGGGGGACTCCTTCAGTCCTAGCAGTGCTGGCAACTGAGAGGCTCTTCCAACCCAAACCATTCTGTGATGCTCTGAAGCAGGGGAATATTTAAATAATTTTTTCAGTACAAGATGCACTACATGTGCTTCAAGTAGAGAGGTGTTTGGGTGGGAGGTCAGGTCCTTAACTCCAGTTCAGTCAAAATAATTGGAATAATGTAAGCTGGTATTCCATTCTCTTGTTTCATTCTGAGTTCATGCCTCTTAGAGCTCACTGCACTTTGGATTTTTTTGAGGATAACCCTGGCCTTTGCAGGTCAGGGGTTTCATCCGAGTCACAGTTTGCAAATTTCAAATTATTACTTGCTGTGTTCAAATTTATACCAACAAATTGAGATTTTGGGGTTTTTTAGTCTGTTTCAGATACACCACTGGTTCCCCCACTGACAAAACAACAGTAGAGGTACCTGAAAAATTATGGAATTGAAGGAGTTTGCTGTAGTTGTTGTGCCAAAAGTTTGGAAAGCATGCAGGAGTTTTGTCTCACCTGATTTTTTGGAGGTCTGAAATGCTTTATATCTATAATGTGGGTATTAAATGATGTATAATATAAGACTTGGTATGGACAGGAATTTTTAAACAAAAGTTGTGCTTTTCTGCTCAAGTGGAATAAGTTGGGGGATTTTTCTTCTTGGTTGCATTTTTAGATTTCAATGGACTGGTTAAAAAGTGTCAGTCAATGCCTTCAGTGAAATGTGTGACTTTACAATTAAAATTATGAGCTTTCCCTTCCTATTTTTTGTCCAAACATGACATGGGAAAGAGCTAGAAAATGTTTTGTTTCCACATATTTTGGCTGCCAGCAGGAGCTTTTCAATTGTGGGTTACACAAAGTCAAGACAAGACTTTGTATGAATTGTTCAGAAGGAAACACTGGAAATTCATTTTCTGTCAGCTCCAAACTTTGTTTAGATAGGAACAAAAATTGTCTGCCCTCTTGATTTATCCCCATTTTCCTGCATGGCATTTGGGATAGTTCTTTGGGATGCACAGAGTGAGGCATGAAGAAAAGATCTGACAGCAGGGGGTTAGAAAAAACAACCAAAATTCCTCTGATGTTTTTTCAGTTGCATTTGTTAAGGTGAATGTTTGCTGGGGAGAAGGAAATCCATACAAATCTAGATTTAAATTACACAGGACAGTGGCAAAAGAGCTTTGAACCATATTGGGAAATGGAATTTCCCATCTTGTGTCAGGTTTGTCCCAGTCTCACTCTTTATGGGGTTGTTTTGGGTGGGTGGAATCCTTCTGGTTCATGCCCTGGACCCGGGGCTGTTCCAACTGGGACATTTCCACCTTGGTGTTTATCTCCCTGAGTTTGGAGATGGAAGAAGAGTCAGCTGGAAGAGCCACACGTAGCTGCTGGTTATTGAGGGAGCTGATGGAGTTAGCAGGAGCTAAGTGTTTCTAGGCTCTGGTTTCTTCCTCTTTTTTCTCTTTCAGCTGACTACAAGCAGCTCTGGGTTCCCAGGGAGGGCTTTCTTCACTGCTTCATCATCCTTTACCCATCACAGTAGCTCTATTGCCTTTGTTTCTCCTTTCCCCTCTAATTCATTGCAGTTTTTTGACTGGAGGTGAGTGACACATCTTTTGAGACACCACATTTTATTTTTCTTTACTCCTTGAAGAATTAGCATTTCCACTGACCCTGGAACACCTCCCAGCTGCTCTTTAGGACGAGACACCCCCGGAACCAAAACCTTCATGCACAAACACCAGCTTGAAAATTCCGTGGGGTGTTCCCTTGTCCTTATTGCTGTGTCCCTTGTCCTGCAGACCCCGACTGGGCCAGCCTGAACCTGGGAGCCCTCATCTGCATCGAATGCTCAGGTATCCACCGCAACCTCGGCACACACCTGTCCCGGGTGCGCTCCCTGGACCTGGACGATTGGCCCATCGAGCTCATCAAGGTCATGTCAGCCATTGGCAACGAGCTGGCCAACAGCGTGTGGGAGGAGAACAGCCAAGGCCACGTGAAGCCTTCCTCAGACTCCACCAGGTGGGTTTGCGCTCGCCGCGCCTCGCCCGGCGCGTGGCGCCGCCGCTTTCGAGCTCTCCCTCGTGGGTAAATGGTGATTTGTAACCTCCCGTTATTGATAACCTCGCTGCGTGCCCAGGAAGAACGTGTGTCAAAGTGGCAGGTGGCAAAAGTTGAGTGACCTCGTTACTCTCTCGCTCTTGGGAAGGTTTCCTCAGCAGCTCTGCAGTTTTCCCTTCAGTGGGAGATGGAAACCTGCCACCTGCTTCTTCCTTCACCCAAATTATCCTGTCATGTGCTCCTTTGTCCCAGTGGGCCCCCAAGTTCCTGCCTCCTGGACTATCAGTTTGTCATTTAACAATCTCCCTTCAGAGTTTCAGGGAATTTGTACCTGGTTGTCAGGTCTTTGGTGCTGCTCAGGGGTGTTCAAAGTCCTGCTCGCCATGGACTTGATTACTTTTTGTGTGTGTGATTTATGTGAAACTGTGAGCTGCTGGGGGGGTGTCTCCTTTGAGAACAGCTTTTCACTTGCCCCTCATAGCTCCACACAGTGAAAATCTTCCTGTGATGTGTTGTCCTACCTAAAACTGTTGGGTTTTATGCTGAATCTGATCAGTGTCAAAGACAGATGTTTTGAGAATAATTTTTCCACTTTTGGATCAGGTGGAAGGATCACTATGCCTGGGCCAGCTCCTGCAGCAGAGGGCTGGGTTTGTGCTGTTGTGTGTAATAAAGTTAACTGTTTCTTATTGCGTTATTTCGTTAGCCCTGAAAAATGAATTTGTGGTGCCACCTTTGGTTCATCTTCGAGAATGAAGCCACTACATTAATCAGGCTACTTAGATGAATGGCTGTGCATCTAAAAGTGCTCAGGGAGCCCCAAAGAGAGGCTTTGTTCAGGCAGAAATGGGATGTCTGCTCTCTACCTGTGTATTATTAGGCACAATGATTTCATCAAGGAGATTGAAATGAACTTGCAGTCATTACTATCACTTTAATACAGAGATTCTATATTCTTGCACCTCACAAATATATGTTGCTCCTTACTGCTGAGGTGTGTGGTTCTAAACAGCTGAAAGAAAAATGCTTGCACTCAATTGGAATTCTATTAAAAAAAAAGAAAAATCACATTATTTCAGTAGTCATATAATAATCATCATGAAAAATCTAAAATCCATGTGACTGTGATGAAAGGAGCACCATCCATTTCAATTAATAATTCACTCAGGATTGAATTTTACTTCTAGAAAATCAACTTTTTTCTCTTAGTATTTCATACTCAGGGCTTATTTTAATTCTCCCACTTTGTTTCTGTGCATCTTCATGGTTATATTCAGCTGATTCTGATTGTCAGTGATATCACTGCACTTTCTCTCCTGCACTGCAACATTTTAGGACAAAAAGATTCATTTTATAGATAGGATTTTCTAGCTTTGTGTCCAGGTTCACGCTTATGTGATAGAAGAGGTGTTAGAAAAAGCAGAATTAGGATGCTGTGGAAATTTTCCCACAAAGCAATTGCAATCTTGCTTTGCTGCTCCCATTCCTCTGCTGTTTGCAGCACTGAAAATGCAATTTTTTACGTAAATACCAGAAAGTTCTGCTTTTTCCAAGGGTGTGCCTGCTTTTGTGCTTCCCTTTGGTCTCTGCCAGCATCACAATCCTTCTGTCCAAGCTGTGGCGAGAAAATAAATTCAAGTTCTTTGGGTAGAGGCTCTGCTTTCCATGTTCTCACTGCTGCTTGGAGTTTTGCATGAGGAATTCTATTGGAAGCAGCTAAAATGGCCCTGAAAGGAGCACTAAACAAACCTTCCTTTTGTTGTTGTTGAGGGACTGAAGGGGGAAGAGGCAACTCCGGGAGAGCTGGAGAGGGACTTTGGACAAGGGATGGAGGGACAGGACACAGGGAATGGCTCCCACTGCCAGAGGGCATGGATGGATGGGATATTGGGCAGGAATTGTTCCCTGGCAGGGTGGGCAGGCCCTGGCACAGGTGCCCAGAGCAGCTGTGGCTGCCCCTGGATCCCTGGCAGTGCCCAAGGCCAGGCTGGACACTGGGGCTGGGAACAGCCTGGGACAGTGGAAGGTGTCCCTGCCCATGGCAGGGATGGGACTGGGTGGTCATGAAGGTCCCTTCCAACCCAAACCATCCTGGGAATCTGATTCTGTGATGGGCCCTCAATACACTTTTAGAGAGGGTCAGATGGGTTTCACCTTTTCACGTTGTGTCTTTCTATAGGAGATGAAGCCATTGAGGAAATCTACAGATTTCTAGGGACACACAAAAGATAAAAAGTAATGAGCTGCTCCACAAATACTGAGTTGTTGGGCTGGGAGGCTCAAGGAGTGTTCACAGGCTGGACTAAGAGGAACTTGAAAGTCTTGATGTGGCTTTCAGAGCAGTCCCTTTAGCCTGGGAGAGGTTGGCACTGACCACTGAATGCTTGCAGTGGCATCCCATGTGTTTCTGTGGAGTAGAGGAAAGGGTGGAGGGATTCATGGAGATGGTTTTTGACAGGAGGAATTGCCAAATGGCTACTCTAGGTCATGGCATGATTAAGGAATCTTACCCAGGAAAATGTCACCAGTATTTCTGAAAACAGAGCTGTGAATACAGCTTCCCTTTAGTAATTTTGCACACTCAAAAATAAGATACCAAATTCAAGACTTTATCATGGCCTGTACTGTGCTCTTGAGGGACAGCTCCAATCTCTGCTCTCTGTGGCCAGGAACAGAACCCAGGGAATGGCTGGAGATGTGTCAGGGGATGTTTAGGTTAGATTTTAGGAAAAGGTTCTTCGCCCAGGAGCATTTGAACAATGCTCTCAGGGATGCACAGGATGGGTTTGTTCAGGTGTCTGTGCAGGGCCAGGGGTTGGACTCCATGATCCTTGAGGGTCCCTTCCAGCTCAGGATAGTCTGTGATTAAACCACGTGAAATACTACTGTCCTTTTCTATTCCACTCAAATGCACTTCAAATTCTTCATCCAAGCAAATAATGGGAAAAGACCTGGACATTTACTTTGAAGGCCAGAAAGGTTCTGGGATTGGAGGATGTGTAAAATCAAAGCCTGGGAGCTCTTCATCCTTCAATCCCTCCTGCATTGATCAAGAATGTTGCCCAGCTATATCCTATAATATTGGTATATTCCAGGTCACATCCATCTGGAGAGTCAAGCAGCCTGGTCTAGTGGAAGGTGTCCCATGGTGGGCAGATGGGATGAGAGGGACTTTAAGGCCCATTCCAACCCAAACCATCCTGGAATTCTTCAGGCAGATCTCCAGCACCCAGGATGGCCACTGGCACTGAACTGGAATGTTTTGGGAGCACAGGTGTGGTGGGGTCCCCAAGGAGGTGGCACAAGGCAGGGCTGAGGGTGTTTCTGGGATTTTGGGAGGAAGGAGGAATAAACACGAGCTCCGGTGAGCACGGAAAGTTGGGGAAGCAGCGGAAAACCCAAACACTTGAGTGTGAAAGGGAGCAGGGAGCAGCTGGCCCCTGAGCCTGGTGTCCCTGGGTCCTGATTAGGTCAGCTCTGGAGAGCTGGTAATTGGTTCCAGCAATTACCAGCAGCCCCGAGAACGCGCTCAAACTTCGGGAGACCTGGGACAAATTGAAGCTGACTGCTGCTGAAGGAGTATCGACTTCCCATTCCTAAACAGGGGGATCATTAGTCAAGAAAAGCATCTTTTAATTACTCACAGGAAGAAAAAAACAAAAAGAGTGAAAAAGGGAGAAAGATCTTTCGGTATGGATCCTGCAACAACTGCCAGGTTTTTTTTCTAAGTGTATTCAATATTAAATTTATTGTCTCTGAGGGGAGGGGGTGAGCGGGGGGAGCTTGCCTGCAGTCCCTCCTTGGGTAATGCGGGTTTAATTTGGAGTGAGAAGTCAAATTAGAGTAAATCAATGTTGCGACAATTAACTGGGGCTGGGGATGGGATCAGGATTTTCCCTCTAATTGCTATTTATACTGTTTAAGCACACTCTCACAACGCTGCTTTGGAGTGGTGCAGCACTGGAGGAGCCCTGTGGGGCTGAGCAGTTCCGTGGAGGAATGTTGGAGATGTGGGGAAGCCAGCTTGGGAATTCTTTGCCTATTGCACTGGTGTGTCCATCTCCTACCAGATATTTGGCTTTTTCTGGGCACGCCTCATTTGTTTTGCTTTGTCCTCATGCTCATGTGGCTTCCGGTTTGCAGACTTACCTGCCACCATTGATTTCCCAAGGTGGTGTTGGCCTTTTCCAAAGGAGAGAAGCTTCCCCCATCCCTCTGTCCACTCCAGGAGATGGTTATTTATTATTTATTATCTGCTCCCTCACTCTCCTTCCCTGAGCTCCCAAGGACTCCATCTCTTGTCTCCCTGGGACTGTTGGGATGGATGTACCACCTCCACCAGCTGGAACTTGCCAGGCAAGCTGAGGGAAGGCAGGCTCATATCCAGGCACCATCCCAGCCACACTTCTTGTTCTGCTACTCAGACAGTGCCAAGTACCTGCATTAGTGACACACAGATAGGGCTCCACCATTCCAGCACCTTCTTGAGAACATTCACAAGCTGGTGGAATGTCCAACTCCATTAAAACTGGTTTTGAATTGAGGGGTGAATGAATTGCAGAAGTTCTAAGCTCTTGAACTCGGGCTTGGAGCAGAAGCAGCAGTTGTGCTCAGGTCTGTTTGCTCAGCAGTCTCTGTTTATTCTGGGTACCAGAGGTTGCAGGAAAATCCAACGCTGGCTGAGCAGCCGCGAGCTGGGAGCCGGCAGTGCCGGGAATTGACTCTCACCTTCCAAGGGGAGACCCAATTTGATCCTTGATCACTAATGAACTCAGTTTAATGGTGTCAGGGACAACATTTTGCAGCTGCATTGTATTGAGCTGAGTTTTATAGTCCTGCACCAAAGCCCAGCTTGTGCTGCTCCAAGGAGAGCAGACATGACACCAAGCTGGTCACTGGGGAGTGACTTGGATGAAAAATACCACACCGTGCCTTCCATGAAAATATTCATCCTTTCCTTT